CGTTTACTTTTGTATCCTTGGTGCTGAACATAGTACAATGGCAAACCAATAGCTTTTTGATAAGCTGAATTGTCTTGATCTCAACATCTGGACAAGTGGAGAGAAAAGCATTGGCAAAGCCATGGCAGCTGGGAAACATAGATGATTAGAAGCAATGGTGACCAGACCCCTTCCTTGTATATTTCATCTTTAATGGATATTTCTCTATTGCTTAATTTCTGATCATTACACCATCCAGATCTCTTCTTGGAGAAGAACTGATCTATTTCCAGGGCTTCAGTTATGTCTGGTCCTGACCATATATCCTCTCGAAAGCAGCTATCTACTTTCTACTGATATTGATCAGTAGATCAACATCACCTGGGAGCTGTTTCGGAACCAACATAATCTGGTAGCTTGTTATAAAACAAGAATCTCAAGCCCTCCTTTAGACCTCCTAAATTAGATCTGCATTTTAACTACTCCTCAGGTGATTTTGATGTACAATAAAATGTAAGAAGCCCTGGATTAGTAGTAGGTGCCTTCAAGAATACTGTATTCCCTGAATTTATTGATATTTAAATGCCTTTGCCTATGAAGTCTCAGGGAAAGGCAATGGGTCTGTTGTAAAGATAATAAAATAGTACAGTGGTATATTGATAAGATCTTGGCCAAAATCAGGCAGTAATTTTCTAACCACGTAAACTGCAAATGAAACAATCCACATTAGATTAGAACTAAGTAGACAACCTAAATATTTAAAAAGGGTTCAAATAAGTGAGAAATAAGTTTTTCATCTTAACGTCTTGTTCCTCTGCTTGGATAGAAAATGACTTTTTTAAAGAGAGACCACTTCTTCAGAAAGAAATGCACTACCCCACATCAAGGCAAACACGTTTTTTATTTGGTAGCAGTTTAATGACCAAAGCAAGGATTTCAAAAGCTATCTCCTGGTTTCCATTCCAATCTCAGAGGCAAAGCAAGTATTTGTTTTCAGCATAGTTGACACCCAAGCTCTTCGCAAATGTTTCCACAAAGCCAGCTGCCTTTTGTAGATCCCCCTGGGAACTTTTCTTTTGGTTACTAACCCTCAGGAGCCTACAACTCCCTATTTGTGAAGGTACTTGTCAGATGGAAAGAGGTCATGAATCTTCAGATCTTTTTGAGGAGCATGATCAAGACTCCAGTTTGAAAAACTTGATCCCTTTGCTCAGACCTTTGGGCTCACCTGAAGACTCTCTCCTCCAGCCTTACGATCCCATTGGAACTTGCACCTCCACATGTACAGATACACAAAAACAGTACATCTGTAGCATTTCTTGGCTAGTATATTGTAGGGTTGAAAATTCTGAGAAAATTCATTCCTTATCTGTAAGGTTAATTGGCTCTTAAATGCATTTTTATGCTAACATTTCTGTTGATGAATCTTGTGGATGCATGGAATTTTATGTTTATTTCTTTTGCTTTATCACCAGTTCAGTAATGGTTTCTCCCTGGGTCTCATCTTTATATTTTCCATAGTACCTTATTCACTTCTCCTTTTTAAATAACAGAGTCCTGGAGTGTGTTTAATGACTGACCTCTAATGCCGTGTGCTAGGTCGAATAAAAGGCTGTGGTCAAACACTCATCTAGAGAATCATGTTACAAAATCGTCAGTGACAAAGACCTGCTACTGAGATATTGTGGCCTTCCAAGGACCTGATGGTGGATTCGGTTTTTATTCCTCACATACCTATTAGGTGGTTCAAGTGTATAGATGCGTGTGTGTGTGCTTGCGTGAGTGTGCATGCCTGTGAGCGTGAACAGAACAAAAACCTGAACTCTCCAGCACATGCCACCTGTTTTCACATCATTGTTGTTACAAAAGGCTTTTTTTTCTCTTTTAATTAGCTGAACTGTCCTATTTTTTCGTAACTTGCCTCTTCTCTAACATATGGGCTGTAACCATATTTCTTTTCATTAGACCTGAGCCTTGTTTGTCATTTATACCATACTTTTGCCTTTCTCTTTCTGGAAAGAAAGGGAGGCTTTTCTATTATTTTAGAGCAAAGCACCTCTGGTTTATGTGGCGACTCTTGTGGCTTTCTAAATGCACTTGATTTAGCTTTCAATGTGTAATTACTGCCAAACAAGTTAATTGCTTTATAAGTGTCCAAAATTCCCTGGTTTAATTTTGCTTTCATTTACCAACCTTCATTATACATCCACTGTTCAACATAAACACAAATGATTGTTAATGAATGCCTAATACTATATTCATTAGAAAATCAGGTTAATGACTGGCAATGAATATCCCAGCTACTTTATTCTTTCAAGCTTTTTATTTATTTTTGCCTTGTTGATTACAATAGCTTTTTTGTTTACCAAGAAATTCTACCTGTACCGCTAGTCTCTTTCTTTCTGGACTCCTGGTCTTGCTTAAAAATTCAAGGTTTCTAAGTTACTTACATTCCCTAATTGTTCTTTCTTCCTGCAGATACCTCCAATATATGCAGTCATTTGTACATAAATTATATCTCAATAATGCTTTATAAAAAATTTAAAAACCAAAACAATTATAATGTACATGATTTCCTTGGGCTATTGGCTACCGTAAAGTCTTGTTCTTCAGAGAACAGAAATATCAGAACTGTTTTGTATAGATGGTCAGGTGGTACACAAACAACCCCAAGGGGTATTGTTTTGGCATCCCAGTCTCTGTGAATGATGCCACCCTGCTGTGCCATCCACAACTTGAATAGCTCTTAGGAGTGGCACTAAGAAATCTCCACTAAAACAACAAAAAAAAGTATCAGAGCAGAATGGTTTGGGACAGCATTCAGTGCTTGGTGCTAACTGCCCTGGGCAAAGGTTGCCTAATTGGAAGATACCAGATGTGTGAATGTACATGGTTTGAGTGAGTGCCAGGAAGCCCATGGAGGAGAACTGAGATGCATATTATGGGGATGGGCCTGATTTTCCTGCTGGTGATTCTTGCTTTGTAAATGAAGTTTCTTCCCCTCCCTGCAGACATGGGGCTGCTTTTCCAATCAAACCAGGCAGCTGGGGTTTTAAGGCTGTGCATGTGTGCCTATAACCCAACAGAGGACGATGGGTAGAATACAAAGTCCAGATTCTAAAAATTGAGCCCTGGCTTATCACTACATGGTTGTGTGATCTCCAGCAGTTTCCTCATCTATCAAGTGCAAATGTTGGCAATTTAGAATTTCTTCAGGTTTTGCACCCTGTGACTCCTTTTGGGATGAGAGGAGAGTGTCCCTGCATTCTTTAAGTGCATTAATTGAATGCTTACCATGTGCCCAACACAGAGTTGATGTGAAGGATACTAGGCAGAAGACACATTTTCTTGACCTCATGGGAGAACATATCAGGGAGGCCCATGTGCCCCACCTGTCCTTGACAGGCAGTATAAATGCATCATAGTGATAGCACTACTTAACTTCAGTGCTGTGAAATCTATTATGCTCCCCAATTATTTGTTCCAGATTCTAGTAATTTTACCTACTTCTGCCACCTGGGAACCCCTACCACTTCTCTTGTTGTCATCTGTCAGTCATGGTACTTTGATCTCAGAAAAGCTCTTGTTTCTTCTTCCATTTTTGTCTCCATTTAGGTCCCCAGTCCATCATCTAAGTCAACATAATAGTGACTTGACTCTACCTATGTCTATACCTTCATAACATTTAGTGTTATGGGAATCTTACCTTTATTTGTGTGATTCTTTGGTTACTACCTCTTGCTTTAGACTCTAATCACCTCTGGGAAATGTAGTGGCAGACTTACCATTGTTTTTCTTTTTTTTTTTTTTTTTTTTGAGACGGAGCTTCGCTCTTGTTACCCAGGCTGGAGTGCAATGGTGCGATCTCGGCTCACCGCAACCTCCGCCTCCTGG